GCCGCCATCGCCGCGCGCGCCTCCACCAACTGAAACATTACACATTACACATTACACATTTTAACTATCCACTAGCTTACGCGTGCTTCATTCGCGTGAAATGATACTTTATTTTATTGTTTACATTTGTCAAATTCTCAAATGCAAATGTCAAAATGATATGATATGATGACAAACCATTGCAATCTTATTTCCTTGATGTTGGCAACTTGTAGTTTATGGTCCCTTACCCGCATTAGGGTTTTATCCAATTTATTTTACCCCATAAGTTTAATAGCGTGTAATAGGCTAAAGCGTGGCGCAAGTGTAGGGATTGTTATTAAAGAATTAATGATTCAAAAATATGCTGCGATTGCTGACATTTTACGCCACAATGTAGTGTGTGTTTACACTTTAATATATTAGTATAGATATAGTAACTATAATCGTAGCTTCGAGAAAAATGCGATTCACTATTTTTTGGGTGTTTTATTTTTATAACAAATTAGCCTGAAGTTTTCATGTATATAATTTTGGTTTTTTAGTTGTTTTTTAATCAATAACATATTTTATTGTATTGTATGACTGTACAATGATAATTTAAATTTGTAGGTATCGTTTTTAAGCAGCCCTGTATGAAGCGCCAAAAAATTAGCAGTTATAATCTGTTGATTGAATGAAATATGCAGAATTATAGTAATTTTAATCTAAAACCGGTCTGAAAGTCTTTCAATTAAAATGATTTTCAGGATTTGCTTCTTTTTGTTTCTAAAAATGAAAACTTTAAGTGGTTCCCCTGAACATTTCAAGCAATATTGCTTAAAAAAATAGCGTTTCACTCATCGATATGTTACCTGTTGCTTGTGGCGCTCCTCCTGCTGGCGGCGCTGCAGGTCCTCGTGCTCGCGCTGCGCCACCGCCTCGCGCGCCGCCGCCTTGCGCCGCTCCTTCTCCTGGTCCGCCGCCAGCGACTCCGCGTACGCCTCGTCCTGCGCCGCGCGCAGCCGCGCCGTCACCTCGCGCTCCACTCTACCACACATACGTACACGTCAACTAACTCACACAACCCACTTCTATACCCTACGTTACTACCGTGCACAATAGATTGAAATTGAATGATTACTGATGCGACGAGACGATGGGGGACATAAACCAGAAAGTATTAATAATGAATATGGATATTTTTATATATCATGAATTCGCAAACGAGCAAGCGGCCTGAATCCACCAAAATGGGGAAGCGACCACCACCCATAGACATTCGCAATAGCGGATGCGTCGCCACCTACCTTTAATCTACGGAGGAGGAGACACACATAAAGATATTTCCCTTACCTATGCGTCTCCACCGACAAATCCACGTTCCCTTCCCATTCTATTCTTATGAGTAAAAGGGTAGGAAGGGAAAAGGACCAAAGTTGGGCCTCGGGCACCACACTGATCAGACTGTACGCGAAATTGCTTACACCTGACGCCTGTCTTCTGTGTGGTCGTGATATTACACCGGTCGAGCCGGCCCATTCGTGTGAAGATGTTACAGCGGGCTCTACCACTGTTTAATCTACTCATGTAACCGTGAGAAAACTATAAATTTGACTTAAAAGTAACATAAATATTTAACAGTCAGTAGTAATTCACAATAAACGTACCTATCAGCCCTCGCTGCAGCTAAATGCGGTTCATTATCAGCGACGACGCGGCGCAGGCGCTGCAGCAGCTGCAGCGGGGAGCAGGCGCCCTCGCTGCGCGCCACCACCGTCATGCGGTGCTCGCGGAGACACACCACGCACAGCAGCGGGTAGCGCCGCCCGCCCACCGACTGCGCCACTCGCCACCCCTCCGACCTCTCCACGGAGCAGCCCCAGAACAGGGCGTGCGTGTTGATGTACTGGATCACCTCGGGATCCCCTAACGTGCTCCTACAATATTGAAAAAAAAATGTATTCCTAGCCAGTACAGTTGACTTCAATAACTGGACTGGCACACTGAGGTAATGTAAACACTAACTGGTGCCAGTGAGTCCATATAATCTATGCCTGGTCAGTTGTGCTGGACAAGAGTGAACCTGGCATTAGATTATTTATTTTATTTGGAAACACCAAAAATTAAGGGTGATTAGTAAAAGCGAGGAATCTGGCGATGGTACACATTAAAGTTACAGTCTACTGAACATTGTGTATACATTAAGATGACGAACGGATCAAAAACCTAGAAAGAAAGAGAAAAAAAACTACCTAATCGTAAGAGACGGAGCTTGTCTTATGCAAGAAACAAGACGCTCCGTAAGTGTAACACTGTGGTTTTCTAAGATTGTACATATACATTTAGAAGAACCATTTCTTTGATTAAAAATAGTAACAAAAAGATGACACCTCAAATACAAATTAATCATCTTTTTAACCAACAAATTCAGTTTCTCCATCTTTCTCAAGAGATTATTTTAATAAAATTTGTAGAAACACGTTAAACCAAAGATATTCGCACTCATATAAAAAATCTGAGTCGAGTAATATGTCAATAATCTTAATTTTACTCACCTGCAAAAGTTTTGTGTTTCACTAGCAGATTCCGAGTGTAAATACACAATGAGGAATCTCAATTCATTCTTTGCATCATTCAGCGCCTGTGCGTATGTGCCCTGGTAGAACACTGGATGTGCATTAAACCGAGATGTATAATTATTTATGAATTCCATAACATCACCTAATGGATCTGTTACAACTGAAAAAGAACATTTAAATTATTTATATTTACTGAAAACAAATTAAATCATTTTATTTACTGTAAATTTTCAGTTCTATATTTACTTTTTAATTCATTTAAAAATAGTTTTCGCCTGCGGCTGTCATTGTGGAATTTAAAAAAACAAAAGTAAGCCTGTGCATTCTTCCAGACTACACTCTACATCAATGCCAAATTTCATCAAGATCCGTTCAGCATTTGAAGCTACAAACTCTAACAAACATCCATGTAAACTTTGTCACTTATCCTTCCCAAGTAGGGCTAGCTATAGACAGTTGACTGTCTGTAAAAATTCAGCAAAAATAGTAAGTTTATAAAATGTTCTAAACCTGGTTCCAATAAGTTGGATAATGAGTATAAAAAAGTATTTGAATAAAGATTTCTGGCCATTTTTTAAACAGATATTATATCATTCTAAATAGCATTTTTTACTGACTATCGCTTTATTTAGAATTTAACGTGTTATCTATGGAAGAATGACTGGTGAAAAATTGTAGACATAATCTGGCATCATCAATTATTACATAAATACTTTGCCATTACTTACATAGATAAAATGAGTAAAAACATTTAACAAAACACACTTAAGGGACAAGAAAACTTTGCTAAAAACAAACAATTTGATACTTACGTCTTCTTTCATCATGTCTGACAAAACTTAATAATAAATTCAGTACAGAGGTTATTGTGTTATAGCACATTGACACAACTAAGTTTACAACATAGCGGAGTAAACCACGGACTCCACCAGGTCCTTCCGGCTGTTCATCTGTGAACACCTGCTGCGCTATATGGTCATGGACTACCGGAGGTGCCCTAGCTTCTGTGGCAAATACTGATGGCCTTCCTTCCCTAATATTTAGTTGTTCTTGAATAGCGACCTTAATAAAAAGAAACAGTTCCATAAGACTATGATTTATAATCAGATTACCAAAAAAATGTACACAATCCTGTTTCTTTTTCATGTAAATAAAGCTGGTTGCAGTTGACATAAAAAGTATTACATCTTTTATTGTGCTTTGCAAACTTTTGATAAAATTAATGAAGTTGAATAAACATTATAATATCTGTGGTTGTCTAGCAATACAGTTTTAAGACAATTTATTACATTCTACATAAATACTCATTGGTCTTTACTAAAATGTAATTATGCTATAGTCCATATTCAAATGAACTAGGTTACTGAAGTTTCAGATGCATATAATCTCAACTTTGCTACAAAGGATATAATGAAACAATACTACTGTGTGGATACTACAGTTGTTTTTGAATTTCAATTCATAGATACCTTAAAAAAACTCTCTATGAAACATTTGATAGAAGTGAATTGACCTTATTTTCATACACGCATAATTTGATAATAGATGTGACTATTGAATTACCTCTAAATCCCATTGGTGTCTTTGCAAAACATCTCGACATATCGACATATCTTCTATACCTGTTAAATCTTGAAATTGTAATATTTTATCAGTTTGTTCGGGCGTTAAACCCATGGCATTGTCTTCCAGATCCATTGCAATGGTAAAAAAATATAGCTTTAAGCGATATAGTTGTTTTTTGGATAAATTTACATAGATAGAATCTTCAACATAAAAATAACACTCTATTTATTAAAGAACTATGATAAAAATAATAAAATGCCACTCATTATATTGTCTACGAAGACAGACAAGAAGTCGAAAACGAACCAGCTAGTCGTGTGTAAGTCAACTCCGAACCGGTTCAAAAGTTCACGTCACATGGACTTGAATCGTTGAGCTGCGGCTCAACGATAATTTTGTTAGCTCATAGCTCAACGCTACTATTACTTGGTGATCCGGAAACCTGTCTGGTGATTCACACTTCGCAGCTCAAAACGCAAATTATAAATCGAGGCTGGTAAAATTTTGTTGCGAGCAGGTTTACTGATCTGTTTCATTATTGCGAACAGTGAGCTGATCTGCAGGTCATCAAATTTGGATGCAGTCGCATGACTACGAACCACAAAGATTTGACAAAGACAAAGATAACTAATGACCAACATCAAGAATAGAAACAAATGTAGATTATCGTTTTTTGTTACCGTTTCTTTTTCATTTATCATAACTTTTTAACCGAAAGTCTAGTTTAAAGTAGGTGACTAAATGACTACATATTATTATATTTTGTAACTTAGAAGTTCAGTTACCTCTCAATTTAATACATATATATTTAGTATCGGCAGATATTTTTTCTGTTACGGGATTGAAAAATCAGGTCAATAATATCGCAATAAATTACATGTTACTACAATACTCCAAGCTAGGTATCACATTAACTATTTTATAGTGTTAATTTCAATTCCGCACAAAGGTTGGTTCAATATCTAGTTAAACCCAAAAGGACTTAAAAACATTGTTAAATTTTGACGTACAATATGTCACATGAAAAATTTTTAGCTCTTTACTTTTAATTTCATGACCTAAATTTCAGTTTCCTTTTTTCTAAATTAAATATTACAGTGAAACTTTACATGAAACATGAAGGCAAATGATGTTATTGTAGATCCCTTGGGAGATAAAACGCTTCGATTTTCAGAACAACATCTAAATGAGATTGTACAGTGGTTTGAAGAAAAATCACAGCCAATAAGTGTTCCGGATACCGATGAACCATTGCAGTTTGTTAATGTCGATCAGCTAATGCAGTTTTTAGAAGAAAGGAGGTAAAACTGCGATTTTAAAATGTACCCAAAAGCTATTTTTGCTATTAACATATATAATTTCGTATAAGAAGGAATTAATTTCAGATTTCACAAAAGAGGATTTTACTACCCTTCCTTTGGAGAAGTCATCTTAGAAGCTGAAACATTTAATGCAGGAATTTCACGAGTTTTCACAAAAGAACAAATTTTGTACATGTTAGATAAATGGGTCATTGAAGCAAATATAAAACATGAATTAAAATTGGCATTTAAAGTATGTGAATGAGGTACATTTAATTCAACATTTTACTTAGCATGTTATGAATACACTGTTATAATATTTGCAAATCATGTATTCAGATGTCATATGATTTGGACAAAAAAAAAAGGTTTTTCATATCAAACTGTATAATTAAAATGTTGCGGTAAAGCTTGCATCTAAATACGTATTTTTTAAAGTCATCATTGTAGATGCTTCCTTTCATGTTAATTTAGGTATTTGATAGCGAGAATCGGACTTTTTTGGACATTGACGAAATTCGAATAATTGCTAAATATGGCAGTGAACCCTTTGATGAAGATGAAACATTAGAACTTTTGCGTGACGCAAATGTAAGAGGAGATGGAAACGTTTATTATGAAGATTTTGTGGAATCTTTGTTCAGTCTTGCACCCGAATTATATGGCATAAAGGTATCGTCTCACTTATCTTCAAATAAGAAAACTCAGTCCTGCCTGTTTAACCACTATGTGACAGACTTATATGCAAGTGTATTTTTTATCCCATTTCCCACATAAAAAATAGAATGTTTTCGAAATCGTAATTCCTACACAATGAAAAACATTACAGTTTCCTTTAAAAATATCAGTTTCTAAAATTTTGATTATAACTTTTCGAAAAATACTGTTCTGTTTTGTAATTTTAGGCAGAGTATTTGTTTGAAAACCCAGAAGAAGATCCTTCTCAAATAGAATCGACAGATTTAGAGAATCCAGCGCCAGTACACACTAAAAAGAAGAAGGAAAAATGAATGTAATAAATAAATCCATTAATCAACCGAAAGAAGTGTTATCATTTTAGTTAAAATAATCTAAAAAAAGCCTATCGCTGTTTATCAAGTAGGTTACACATGTTAAAATAAAAGTTTAAAGTCTAATAACACACCATTTTATGGTATATGGATTTACCGGTTTTTCATTTGCTTTTCATTTTTGAGACATCTTGGGTGTTGTCCAATACTTTTTGAAAAGAAAATGACATGAAATGAAATGTCAAACTGACATCTGACAGAAACAAGAAGATTCAAATTTAATTTCATAAACAAAGCGAAAATAATATGCAAAACTAAAAATATATCAATTAACAGTTTTATTCTATTTATAGTCCTCCCTTGAAATTATACCTTAATTTTGGTGCTTACTTTTTTATTCTATTCATTAAAGTAAGGCCTTTAATTTCGCGTACAATTGTGCCGTATCTGTTTCAACATATATTTTATTTTAAGTAAAAAAATGTCTATTGCAGATTAATATTTCCTTTTAATTACATTAAATAATTCAGTAGCAATTTACGTATAAACAGTACTATGTTTGAATCTGATGATTTTGATCAGGTATGTATCGTTATATGTTGTTAATAAGTATAGTGAAAGACAACTCCTTTGTAATTTCACGAACGGATAAATACAATGAAACTTAATGTGGACATATAGTGTGATAGGAATTTGGTTTAGCCAGCACACAAAAATGATTAAATAAATAAAGATTGTTATTTATTCTCATATAAATTAATATCAATACAACTGTATAGTTTCTACTCACCAGTGTATCCACACTCAACAAATTAGCTGATAAACCTGGAACATACTTTACCTCTTTCACGCCAAACTGCACATTCTCATCTTTAATAACATCACCTAAGCCTCGTGCATGCAATTTTTGACCATTAGCTACATTAATATAGTGTTAAAAGTTATTGCTTTTTTAATGTGCAACCAGTACTATATGTATTTAATTTTAACAAAGTTCTTATTTTAACTGCTTGAATTTACAGGTTTTATCTCAATTAGATATTCCGGACGTACCTCTCAGAACAAGCACAACCAACTGTCATAGCGTTCAGAATAATGTTAATGTACTACAAAATAGTCCCTCTAAAATAATTAGCAAAAACAATGCAATACCGGGTTCAAATCATGATAATATAAACATAAATAACAAGGAAACAGAATCTGAAGTTAATCTTGTGCAAAAAAATAATTTACTATCACCAAAGCACTGCAAAAGGAAAATTATTAATTCACATTTTGACTCTAACTGTAAAAGAAAGTTCCCAGGTCCTGCGGGATTATTGTCTGGTAGTTTTGAACAATATAAGGATAATAATATTGATCACATTGAGTTGCTGTCTCAGGTTAGTGTAAAATACTATTAAAGTACTGATAAATTTGCTAGTGTAAATTAACAATATTGTATCAAAAGTCCAATATTATAGGGCAAAATTGTTTGTTTGCATTTTTTAAATGTAAACTTGAATTTACAGGATATAGATTTTTCACAATATCCTCTACACGGGGACCTATTTGATTCAGCACTTTGGAAAAAAATGTTAAAAGATGTGAATGAATGGAAATTAAATGCTGTTGAAACAATAAAAACAATAAAACAGTTTGCACTCAATGGAAACATTAGAAGAAGGAAAGCACAAACAATTACAGCATTTGTAGAATGTGTTGATAGATCTGCTATGGACCCTTTAATTACTCTCAGAGATTTAACTGGTATGTTATAAGCAAATTTATCTAAACATATTTAATGCCGCTGAGTTTCTATGAAGTCATTTTATTATTTAAAAAATAATACTAGCATTATTCTGGTGTTTTAAATTATGAAATATGTACTAATTCGTATAAAGACATTAAAAACAGATTTTTATTTGTGTTTTAATCATAATAATAAAATATTTTTAGCTAGTTGTTTATCAAGACTACAATAAATTACTAATAATATAAATGCTAAAGTTTGGAAGGATGTTTGTTACTATGTATCTTTAACACAGATCTTGCTGATATATGACACAGATGTAGAACATAGTCTAGATGTATGCCTATGCAACTAATTATGTTTTTTTTAAATTCCTCACTGAGAGGGAGTCACAGGCAACAGCTTCTCTTCATATTAATAGGTTCTTACACTGTGTAATTTATTATCTTTCAGGAAATATAAAATGTACACTACATAGAGATGCTTGGTCATGTTTTTCATCATACATTGTGCCAGGGCATTCAGCTCTTGTGTTATCTAAGACTACAATATTAACAACAGGCGGCGCATTCAAAAAACATTACTTAAATATAACTATGAGCAATATATTAGCTATATATAGTTCTATACTCAATAAGGAAGAAACTATGCCTGATGGTTATCAAAAAAAAGTAAATGAAGACTGCACAATTATTAAAATGGAGAAACAAATCTCAGGTTTGTTACACTTTTCGTTTTAAATTGCTGTGTTGATAGTTAATTAAAATATTACTTAATTTATGTAAATCTTACTTGCTAATGTTAATGTGAAAATTTGTTATTTGATATTTATATGTCAGAAATGGCTCAACAGATCTTGCTGTAATTTTTCATAATTCATATTATCAAAGAACACAGAGGCTACTAATTCTTTTTTATTCCACATGGAGAGCAGTATGTCTATCTAGTTTCCAAATATTTCTTCTAAACATTCCATATTCAATATGGTTCACAAAATTGAGTGCTGGGATTCGAACCCATGACCATAAGAATGGTATACCTCTCCCCTAAATTTTAGGCCATAGGTACTTGTTAAATTAGCCCTCATTTTAATTTACAATGTTTGTTTCAGAAGAAAACCATGGAAATGATTATGATGACTTAGATAGCATATTTTCAGATGAGACTTTTTAAAAAATGTGATAATTATGTACATAAGTTGTAAAATAAAGTATGATTATATTAAATTCTAGTGTTTCATTTAAAATAATGTTTTAAACATTTATCCCTATAGAAGTAAAACAAATTCTTAATTTAAGCTTGTACAATGAGATTATGACTGACTTTTCTATCTGATTTTATCTTACTGATATAATAAATACAAACGTTTGGTTGGATTTTAGGGTTTTTAACCTAAACTGAACAGATCTTGATGAAATATGACACAGATGTAGAACAATCTGGAATAACCTAAGCTACTTACTTAGTTTTTTTATATGGTACAGAAGAATTTGTGGGCAAAAGATAGTATTTCTATAAAGAGGTTACCTTTTTTTTGTATTTGCGGATCATTAAAGTAAAAAAAACAGTATTTTAGTTTTTTTTATTCATATGTTTATATGTTTGTTGACAATATGTTTAACTAGTGTCTGTTGGTGGTTGAAAGTGCAGGAACACATATTGCACTTATGTATTTTGGCCTGTGCCCCGGAGCTGTCGCCATTTGTTACCTCAGAGTTGTAATGAGTTTTCAAATGTTTTATACAGTTGTGTAACTTGACGAATTTCATCTGAAATATATGTTTTTTTTACATTTCCATTCGATAACCATTTCTAATAGGAAATTTGAATAACACCGTATTACTGTACTTTTAACCGACTTAAAAAAGGAGGTTCTCAATTTAATAGATTTTTATGTATGTACATCGGTTACTCTGCATAAAATCCGATTTACGTGAATTTTTCTTTGATAGTAGTGTTTGAGTTTTTTCTTAAAAAAGGCATACCAAAAGTAGGTATTCATTGTTTTGAAGTCGGAATTCATTGCTTTAAATGTAAAAAATTGGATAAATGGATGATTGTTACGGTACCGAAACAATTTAACGGATCTCGTTGAAATTTGACACAGTTTTAGTAGTCTGGAAGAACACATAGACTTTTTACTATTTTTATTTAATTCTATGGGGAATAAATCACATACAAAAGGTAGTATAAAACATTGGCATATAAAATTGATTTAACTTACTTTACATTGATTACAATGGTAAATTTTGTCTTTACCGTTTTCAAAGACAACAGTGTACCCGGCCACCAGCTTGTCTAAATCTATTGAAGCATCCTCTACATCCGAACATTGTGTCTATAAAAAAAAAACAGGAAATAATATGGCAATTGTAAAAACAATGAATCAATTTGTTGGAATTCGTTGAAAAAATCATAGACACAACTTTTAATTATTTACTGGATACATCCATTATAATTTACGGTAACCTAAACCTATTACAGGTGTATAAAACAACCATTTTCTGATTTAAACCCCCTCTCCCCAATTTTTAGTTACGAAAAATATGTTTTTTTTTACCATTTCAAGCGAATTATACCTTTTGATGTTCCTTCAATTCGACTTCAGTATTAAAAATGGCGGCGCAGTTGCGGCAAGCGAACGCCTTACCGGGAAGTTTCCTTTTATTTTCTTCAGATATCACTTTAGATGGTAGCTCTATACATACAATTTATATACATTAATATAAATAAAAACAATGCTTAACAATTAGAAATAACAAAAACACATGACACAAAGTAATTAACTACAAAATAATATACATTTTTTGCTTTATAGGGGTAACTCTTTATAACCTAGAAATCATGTCTTTGTTTTTTTTTTAATTAAGAAAACTTGCGTAAAAGTCACGGAAATTATGTAATAATGGTTTATGGTAAATAGGTTATTTGTTTTTTTTTTATTATAATAAAAAATAGCTTAATTTGAAGTTATATAATCTGTTATAACTTACTCCTTATATTTAATGTAATAGACACTCGCAGTATATTGTCTGCTCGTTTCATTTCATTAACGTGTATGTGTAAGACATTATCATCTTTCCTATTAACAATAAATGAAACATCTCCCTTTTTGATATCCGGTTCATCATCTGGAAATATTAACAGAAAACGTATTACACAAAAGTTGAGCGATCGTTAATACTATTGTATAGACAAAAAAAACAAAAAATAATTAAAAATGTTCAATTTTAACAACACTTGTAACGCTAATTTGCAATGTAAGTTTGTATTTCTAAACGATTCCGTCACTGTCAGAATACAAAAAAAAATCGTTTCTATTATTCACTACTGGCTTTGCTCGCGACTTCGTCCACGTGAAAAAAAAACAAACGTAGTCTATGTTACTCACTAATAACTTGGCTTTGTAATGGGAAAACTTTCGAAATCTATACCGATTTTGAGTTATTCCAATACATAGAAAACTTTCATCTTTATAGTCATACTAATATTATAAATGCGAAAGTTTAGATGGATGGATATTTGCTAGAGTTTGTACCTTAAACGGCAGAACGGATCTCGATGAAATTTGGCATAGACGTAAAGGATAGTCTGGAAGAACACATAGGCTACTCACTTATCTTTTTTATGCCACGCTTATGGAGTCGCGGACGAAAGCTACATTAGTATAAAAGAAAAAAATGAGAACATGTTTTTATACAAGTTTTTTTTAGAAAAAATGGGGTAAATATACCTGTTGTATTAATAATGTGCAGCATATCCGGCTCGTGCAGGAAGCAGCGCGCGTCCGGCGCCACGCGGCCCGTCACCAGCGACGGCTGTCCGCTGCTCGAGTACGCGCCCTGCTCGTCTTGCTCCGACACTACCTACACCAGGGGTAGCGAACATTTATGCTTCAAAGTACATTTTTTTTAAATGTTTTATGCGGTCTTGACGGACCATAGAAAAATTTTGTTTTATGCGATTATTACGCCAATTCCATGTTATACTTAATTAGATTTTTTTCGTAGTGTTTTTATGATTTTCGACGTGCCCAAAATAAGTCGTGTGCCATTTATGGCACGCGTGCTATTGGTTCGCCACCCCTGATCTATACCGACATGTTTAACTTACACCAAAACATTACTCCGACACTATTTACACCAAAACGTTTATGGCATATTTTCTCGTACAATCAGGGTATCTGACCCCTCAGAAGGCACCGGCCTTAGCTACAGTTGATTGAATATTCAAAACAGTAACACACTCTTTAAGACAATGGTGCGTTTAAATGTGATACGAAAAGACTGTTTTTAAGCAAGTTTTTTTTTTAAAAGGCGGTGGTTGTCTCGTTGCAAGGAATAAAGCTTTTTCTGTAAGAATACCAAGAATTTCTGCGTCTGTACCTACTTTAAAACCATTCGCTTAAAATTAAAAATATCGTAAAAGTAAAAATATGTCAATAATGTTTTTTTTTAATCATTCCACAAAAGTTCCATCAAAAGTGTAATGGACTATACCTTTGTGACGACAATATTCCGATCGAGGACGGAGCTCTTGAATTCCGGTATCTTGAGAAGCTGCATGACGGTGGTGTGCGCGGAGGCGACGTCGAGCGCGCTGCACCGCACGCCGCCCGCGCCGCCCCCGCCGCCGCCCTCGCGCCACTCCCACCACTGCCGCACCACGCTCTCCAACAGCTGCTCCTCCGCGCTCACACTGTCTGCACAAAACATGCTATTTTTATATAATAAGGTAGCAAACGAGCAAGCGGCCACCTGAATCCGCAAGAACGGCGTAGCGACCGCTGCCCATAGACATCCACAATTGCAAATGCGCTGCATACCCTTAATCAACGGAAGAGGAGACGCACATATACAGGATATGTCCCCTTCCTATGCGTCTCCTCCGCCGTCAAATCCACTTTTCCTACCCATCCTTCCCTCTTATATACTCATAGGACAAATAGGAATGTAAATACCCATTTCATAACACCAGGAATATAAAAATCCATCGTACAGGACAGGGGTGGCAAATGTGTATGCATCAAAACACCATTTTTTTATTTAATTTTAATGCGGTATTAGACGTGTTAAGTCGAATAACTTTTGACTGATTATTACATCAATTCCATTGTGTATCTACTTCATAATTTTATCGTAGTGTTATTATGATTACCGACGTGGCGAAATAATATGTCTTGTGGCATTTATTGCACGCATGCCAGTGGTTTGCCACCCCTGCTATAAGACAGCTAAGAATATAACAATCCATTCTATAGGACGGCTTCTTCATTTTCAAATGTATGCAAATCAATAGCATGATATAAAATGTTTGTTACTATGGATATTGAATCTTACTAATATTATAAATGTATATGTTTAAGTAATTATTTAAATACTTGTAAAGTATATAAGTAACGCGTACTTTTTTTTACTTTCTTTTCCTTGGTGTTGTTAACGAAAACGTTTTTTCGAAAAACTCGCTGTTCATATATAGATGAATCTTGTGTTACTGATAAATCGATTGCGTTCAATTTTGTTATTTTAGCGAACAATTTCTTGCCACTCATTGTCTCGCCCAAAACTATTTTCCTTGGAATATCTGAAAATACATGTCATTTTAGAACTTCAGAGGAAAAAAGATAATATTACAGCCAATAATAAACTGAGCTATAAAAGTATAATATGTCTTTTCTCTCACTCTCCCCATCTCTCTCTGTCTCTCACTCTCTCTATCCTTCTTTGTCTCACGCCCATCGAATGTTGGCTTTACTTTTAAACGTCGGAAAATTTATACCTTTAAATGCGATGTTAGTACTGACTTTAAACATAAGATTTTTTGTTTTTGATGTTTTCAAAATATCCTTCAATTTTGAATCGACATTTTCGTTATCATCACTTGGCAATTGTTCACATTTCGTATCGACTGTACTTTCATTATTCGTATCATTTTGTGTTGTGTCACTTTCGATTTCATTAACTGTCTGATTTGTTACATCAAGAGTTGAGACTTCCATAGATTCATCTAAAAAAATCAATTAATATAGTTAATGTTTAAAAATAATGAAGTAATGAATTGGCTTAGTTTAATATTTACAGAGAAATAATTCTAATGTTTAAGCTCCCTCCAAGTTCTTCTGCCAGGTAAATATTATAATCTCGTTACTATCTTGTTCTAATAAATTTGGGCGTGAATATCCTGACAATAAGAGAAAAATACTTACCATGTTGTTTAGGATTTATGTTCATTATGTATGAGCTATGGTCTCCGAAAATCTCTTTCGAAAATTTAACACCACCTCCTTCAATATGTAACTGTATTTTATCCTGATTGCTTGACAAACTATATGAAAAAATAATTATTGTTGTGATTATGTATGAGAGGGACGGAGAGAGAGAGAGAGAGAGAGAGAAAGAGAACGAGAGAGACAAGAAGACAAAGTACATCACATTAGATATGCACTAATTATTACACAAAGTTTCTAATATTAAGTTACAGTTCGCCAAACAAAAGAAAAAGTACATCCCCTTGTAAGTGTTTAAATGTTATTCAATTTAAACAAAAAATCACTGTAATCAAAATAAGAATATGGATGGAAACTAAGAATGTAAATATCGTATTTGCTAATTATTATTTGCTTGAGGGTACTTACAAATATCCTTTATTGTCAAGTAATATAAACAAACCTTGATTACGACTTTGACATATGTCAATTGCACCAAAATAGTTGCCAGTAACAGAAAATTCATAGATTTTATTATAAAGCGTTCCGTTTCATACAATTATATATACATGCAAATGGATTTACAAAAATTGCTGCAATATATTAAGTATAATATGAAATAGCAATCCAAATAAAAGAAATAAATGAAAACTTCTCAATTCAAATGGAGGAAAAATTACCACCGTTGATAGAAGAAAATAAAAAATTAAAGGAAGAAATGGTTTTATTAAGAGAAAAAATCGAGTATTTGGAGACAGAAAAAAAAATAACATAATTTTATTTGGACTACCTGAGAACGAAACCTCTAAACACGAAAACGAGAAGGAAGAACTAACACATACATTTATAAATGAAATAAAGAAGATAGATATTGAGATAAATAAACACTTAGTAGACAAAATACATAGGATTGGAACAAAAGAGAATGCAAAAGGAAAACCTAGGCCGTAAATAGTTTTATTAGTCAAGACATAGAAAATACGTAACATACAGGAAAATTTAATGTAGAATAAAATTGTCCTTTATAGTATTTAAATTGGACTAATAGTTTAGAAGATATCGCGAACACAAACAATAAGGGTAACCGAAAAATCAGCTCACGAACTACCGGGCTTAGAAATTTGGAATCTGGCATCAGTAGATTTGTTATTATGTAGATAGATTACTATTATCGTAATACTTTAGGTAATAGGTTGAAAAAAGGAACGAACGTAATTTTTTAACTTTTAATGTCCACGCGGACGAAGTCGTGGACAACAGCTAAAACAAATACCCAATAGAGGTCACTTCAACTAAGTATAAAAGCCTTTACTAGTCACTTTAAACAACTTTTTTAACTTGCCTTGTATCATCTTCGCAATCATTACTTCCCTCTGGACATTTAAACTTTTGTATTAATTCTGGAACAAGCATTAAATTTTAATTACAAGAAAATACTTGTATTTTGTACTATCCGGCACGAAGGACCATCGAACTTTGAACATTACAAAACAAAGTCACTTAGGAGTCCTTTCTTATACTAAAACACAAAGGAGAACACTACATGACTCTGAGTTCGGATGTAAGTTAAAGATTTTATATTATGAACTTATTTTAATAAAGCGCCAATAGCCTAATAGTTTGGGGTATGGACTACCGATCTTGTGGTCGAGGGTTTGAATCCTGCCATTCGACTATTATCGTCAACCATATCCTAGCAAATGCATCGAGCTTAGTTGAAATGATTAAAGGAAATATTAGTAAACTAGCTTTCTCCCGCGACTCCGTCCGCGTGGAATTAAAAAAAAAACACAAGTAAGTAGCCTATGTGTTCTTCCAGATTATCCTCTTCATCTATGCCAAATTTCATCGAGAACCGTTCAGCCGTTTAGTCTACAAACTCTAACAAATATCCATCCATCTAAACTTATAATATAAGTAAAAAGTAAGATTAACAAAAATCTATTAATATTTTAAAAATAAACTTACTGTCATTAGTTGTTATATCATGTAGTCCTGATGTATCAAGGATATATACTTTGTCATTTGTTTCTAGAAGAATCCGTCCTTTTTGTTCCAGAGTGTGGAACTGTTCATCACTTAATGTTATCTAAAACAATATAATGCTTACCATTACCTAGACATATGAATAAAACTAGCTGTTGCTCGCGACTTTGCGTGGAATTAAAAAAAAACAAAACTGAATAGTCTATGTGTTGTTCCAGACTATCCTCCACATTCAAATTTCATCAAAACCATTCAGCCGTTTAGGCTACATACTCTAACAAACAACCATCTAAACTTTCGCATTTATAATATTAATGTAATATGACTAGTGATTCTTGTAATTCTACCTCAGTGCAATCATCGGTTTTGTGCATTATATTAACCTCTTTTGTTTTATCTTTTTTTGGTTCTTCATCTTGCTGTACTACCTGTAAATAAAATTAAGTGATTGACAATTCACACAATAGATGTCACAAGGGGAGAGCAGTTGTCACACTATCTTTCTAGAATATTTAACCAACATTTGTAAGTTAAATGAAGATATATCTAAAACCAACTTTTGACTTAATATAGTGTGATATTTACCTGCTCTTCAATAGTATTAGACTCTTGTAAAAGATAGTTGTCAGCAATAATAATAGTTTCACCGTTTGGTAATGTTAACTGATCTGGAAAATAAAATGCATTTTGAATGTGTGAATGAAAAATGAACATATCAATCAAAGAATTGGTAACTTTATTGAAGTCAAACACACATAAATGAAATACTATTACAAACTAGCTGTGACTCGTGACTTTGTTCGCATTGAATAAAAAATTTGCATATGTTCTCATTGATAACATATCTCATTAATGGTAAAAGATTTTTTTTTATTGGCTCAGTAGTTTTTGAGTTAATCCAATACATACAAAAATACGAATGTTTCCTTTTGGATGTATGGAAGGATATTTGTAACTACATATCTCCAGAACAGCTCCACAGATTGCGATAAAATTTGTCACATACATAGAACATAGTCTGGAAGAACACTGTTTAACTTGTTACCAACCGAGCGGCACCAAAAATATATTTGTATTTTGCACTTAACAAACACATAAGCTAATTGCTACGATTTTTTTTCCATTAGACACTGTCACTGAAAACAGCTACCATTTCATTATCAATATACATAGAGCAGAAAGTATAATATATACAAACCAGGAATGGAAATACCTTCAGCTGAGTTGTCACCCAGTAGCAGTTGTGGTGATGTGACATCAAACATTTCACAAGGCTGACCATTATTGACAACCTCTTTGATATCTTGTCCTTGAGTTAAATATTGAACTTGTCTATTACTTACTGAAACAGAATTCTATGTAAAGGCAATCTACTTAGTTCCTATTAAGATGACAATCAGTTTCAAAGGAAAAAATGAGTCTCCTACTAAATTTTTTATGTTGTCTGTTCTATACTTACAACTGAGGAAACTACCATCATCTTGTACTAAAAAAAATTGATCATCCTCATTCCCTTCGGTATACTCATATGTTTCAAAGGAGCCTTTATCCGTCATTATATCAGGTTTTCATTGAAGTTGTACCGTACTTTAAAAGATATCTAACCAATATACTAAGGAATGTTTAGAATAAACTACTTTTAAAAGTAATATTTATATATTAAATCACTTAATATCAGTACTTTGATAAATGTATGCCTATAAAATCTTTCAAAGTTTTTATTTATTTAATACCATGTTTACAATTACGACTTAAGAAATGACATTGACAGATTGACATTCCAAATCAGCTGTTGTGTTTTTTTTAGTTTTTTCAAAAGTGACAAGAGTTATGAACTTTGTGCCAAAGTAAAACTTTTTACAAAATTAAAAACACTATTTTTTCCGATAATAACAAAAAAAAACTTTTATTTAGCTATATTTTCGTAGGTTAAGAAATAGCTCAAAAATTCTCAATGTTATGCAAATTAAGATAGGGTAGTCGATAAATATTTTATTATAAAGCCGCAAAAGTACATATCAAGGTATCGTAAAATCAAAAACATAGTTTACATTTGAAAATGCTTCGCAATGACAAGTATTTGAAAAAGCACGAACATAATCACAAAGTTGAACGGGTTCATATGACGGCGATTTTAATCTTCCAATAGCTGTTAATTGTACTATTTGATTCAACATAGTACTTCTTTCAATGCTTGTAGCTTTAGCATTCCAATCGCATAATCGAAATCTCTGAAAGGATACATCGCAACGCCAGCCTTGCTTTAACATCGGCAAATCATAAGCGCAACCATAGTAAATTATAGTACCAAATTTATCCAATATATTTAGTAAAACATCTTCGTATCTACCACCTAAGCAATTCAATGCTAAGATGGGTCGCGTTACTGATGTATCAAAGGTTGTCAATTCTTCAGCTTCTTCCAATGTGTAAACAGCTGTCGCGCCGAGATTTAATAAATGTTGTTTCATGTTCTTATATCCACAACGATTTGCAACGATGTTAATCGTATTAATGCCCCAAATTTTACACAACTGTATAATATACTGACCGCATGGACTATTAGCAGCATTTTGAATGATCGTTTCTCCTGGTGTTACAACTCGAAAATCATTTATCATTCTGTAAGCTTCACATGGAGCAAAAGTTATCATTGATGCTTCCGGGAGTGGTATAAGTGGAGACACAATGTGTATATCCCTCTCATGAAATGTTCCATAATATCTCCATGTGCCCAGAAACCGGGAAGTCACGACAACTCTAAGCCCTGGCTTCACAGCACATACATTTCTACCTATCTCAACAACTTCCCCTACTCCTTCATCTCCAGGAACATGGGGTAATGAGGGTAAACAGCAGCCTTTACCTGAAATCAAATAAAAACAATTGCAAGAAAAAAAAATGCGATATGAATTAGGATAAAAAATATATATTTTTGGTAACTTTATCTTAAAAACCTTTTAGATGATTGATTGGCATTGGTCACATGTTATAAAATGACTAGACAGTTTTTCTTCAGTTTTGGATATACAACTCTTGTTCTAAAATATTACCTCTTATGTTTTATGATAATTAAAAAAACACAACTTTTAAAGCCCTTTATTCCATAAATGCAATTACAATGTGTATGTATTATTATACATCTAAAATAATATTGACAAAATAACGAATAATTTAACTAAAATCTAAGATATATTTACAACCAGTGAAGCCCTGCGGTGAAAGAGCATTGCCTATAGCTTCTTGGTAATCTTCTAATTTTACCATTTTATGTTTAGGGCCTTTAATATTATCACAAGACATCATTGATATGATATCATTCATCATGTCATTTTTTTCATTTGGACTTGCCTTCTCATTCCAAGCAGTCATCCAAAAACCATAGAAAGATAGATTCTTAAAAATGAGAGCAGAAGTTGGGATACTAACTGGTTCTCTTGACATTCCACCATAAGTTACCATTTTTCCCGACTTCTGTAAATGCCTCAACATTTCTAAAGAACTTTTACCTCCTACACAATTCAAAGCCAAGGAGGGTTTTTCAATAAATTTGTCTTTGAAGATATTTGTAGATCGCAATTCTTCCTCTGTAAGTACATAAGTAGCTCCCAAGCATTGCAAATACTCTTTCAACTGCTTTATTTCAGGTCTATTTCTGACTATGTTTATGTTTTTCACACCCCATGCTTTACAAATTTGTATTACATTTTGTCCACAGGCGCTATTCGCTCCATTTTGTATCACCACAAGACCATCTTTGACAGGTATAAAATCAGTTAACATTCTATAAGCAGTACATGGGTTTACCGTTAAGGTTGCAGCTTCAACTAATCCTAAATCATCAGGAATTACTTTTAAAACATTCTCCTTAAATAGTGCAATATTCCTCCAAGTTCCTTGAACCGGTTTAGTAAGAATTACTTTATTACCAGTATTTATTTCTTTGACATCTTTACCAACCTCTTTAACAATTCCTACACCTTCATTACCAGGAATACTTGGCAGATTCACCTTCACCGGATATTTTCCTGTAAAGAAATAATACAAAATTAATATAATAAATTAATACTATAGTTAATTACAAGCAATATGTAGCAATAATACCTGATTTGCATTAAATCCATTTTATCCTTGTTTTTTTTAAATTAAATGAAACAAGCATGCAAAAAGACTTGTGAAAATCAATCAATACCTTGAATGGTGTTTATATCAGCAGGGTTAATCGGTGCAGCTAACATTCGCACCAATACATCTTGAGGTCCGAGAGGCGGCACTTGGCATTCTTTAAACTTCACTACTTTTAGAGGATCTCCAAATTCATTATAAACTAGCTGTTTAGACATTAAATTTCTAATATTCACCAAATTTACAGAAGATTTATTAAATACTTTGACGAATGATAACATATTTTTAGTCAAAGGCAAATGACCCATCTTTATCTGTATACAATATTTAATTGAGTGATGGTGTAGTTTATTTTAGTAAACCTTATAAGGTTTTTCAGCGTTTTAAGCTATTGCAACTATAGGAATTTTATTTATTAATTATTAGGTTGTTGGTAAACTTTTCATTTCGAGAAAATTTTGTTGACGTTGACAGATGACAAGCAGTGTTGCCAAATACTTATGGGGAAATAGTTTGTGTATATTGTGTAAAAAAACTGTGTTTGTATGCAAACAATCTAGGGTGCGCCGTAGCAGTACTTAAAAATTGAATTTCCGGGTAATTTTGCGGCGTTAACATCTGGTTGTCATGGTGAACATGCTACAAAATAGTTACATACTGATGAAAACAGTTACAATAAGGAACGTTTTATACTAGCTTTCGCCCGCGACTCCGTCTGCGTGGAACTAAAAAATACAAAAGTGAATAGCGCATGTGTCCTTCCAGACTATCCCCTACATATATGCTAAATTTTATCGACACCCGTTCATCTGTTTAGGCTACAAACTCTAACAAACTTCAATCCATCCATCTAAACTTTCCCATTTATAATTTTAGTAAGATTACGTATCTTTTGATAAGCCTCATCATTCATTTGATTTATTTTACTTTATGGACTCTATTCTGTATATAGGAAGTTTAGATTCGATTGTTGCAGTCCAATAAGAAATCTGATTTCTAATGTTTGGGAAGGAAATCGTATCATATTATGTAAATGTAACATTATTTTTATGTTTGTTTCGTTTTTTATAGTTTCTGCCAGTTTCTGCGTGTTTTTATGATGCGCTTTTTTGTATTTGTTTTGTACTTGAATGTTTTTTAAGACGGTTTTTTAGACATGATTGATAATCGCGTCCCTCTTATCGCGCTGAACATTCTTTTTTAACTACTGTCCCAGTACTTATTGAATCTCAAATCTTAATATAATCAAAGCACTAAAAAAATAATTTAAACACAACTAACATTTAAATAAAATTTATTCATTATTGTTCGATAAAAACTTTTTCAGTCGTTGTTCTACATTAATTCTACTGCGAGTTACATTAGAATTAGATAATTTTTTTTCTTCAATAGGCAAAAGCGATTTAGGTATTCGAATACGGCGAGCTCGAACTAATTGCCAGGAACCACTTGAGTTGCGGAAAGAACCGCGAGATGAGTTGAGTTCTCTAATTTCTGAAGACAGGGGCCGGGGTGCACTTAAAAAATGAAAATAATTAACCTCTCTTCAAAATAAGTGGCATTCTATACTCACATTAGATAAAGAGTTTCCTTTCTGAATGTTTAAAAACTAATTATTTGCAATATTAATTAATTTGTTAATACTAACTATTCTCGGATAGTCCTAAGTCTTGCTGGAGCCACCACAGATGGTAATAAAACAGACGAATTTCGTTTCAGTCCTGTCGGTTAATTTTTTACAGATTAAATAATTGTTTGACATTCTTAATATCTACCCTTAAGTATAATATATTTATGTTTATCTTTAAATAATAAAATAATATGAGTTAATGAGTATTTAATCAAGAGATACTTGTTGTTTTCTCTTTTAATTAACCTTCTTTCAATAAAGAAGTAAATAGTTGTGAATAGTTTTCACAACATGTTAGTAAGATTAAAGCAAAGTGCATTTTTTTATTACCAGAGTATTTAATGTTCTTCAAGAAGCTTTTATCTTTCCACTTCTGTGAGCAAACGGGGCAGACTGAGCGACGTATAGACCACTTTGGTAGTTCAACAGGATGGACGGAGGGTTTTTTTTCGAATATCGGTAGACCCGGTTGCGGTTCCTAGAATTAATGCGAACTATGTTAAAACTAAATTTGATTAAAAACTAAGTCAAGCATTATAGCTATTATAATTATAACATGTAGTTGGTATATTAAACAATTTTAGATTATTACTGCATTTTAATTTATTTTCTCTATCTACATTCGTTCTGTCACTTTTTGTATAACCTGTGTCAACCTACTGCTGGACAAATGATTGTTACAGATACCTATACATTATTACAAATAATGTCCGGTTTACACATGGCCAGTACAGTTGTTCAGTAGCGCTCAATAACTAGTCTATTAATCAACTGGCATAGTGTCAAAACAAAATGGCGCAAGGGAATCCATACATTTTATTACCAATTGTTACAGAGAAAAAAAAATTCTATAAAAAAAAATAAAATGACGTAATTCTAGTAGCAGTATCAAACCGGTGCTGAAATGTTGGCTGTATGTGCGAGTATCGAAGGGATGTCCATATCGCGTCGTGTCGATACTCTGGAGAATCTCGAACGTGATACGCTTCTGTCCGTCATACGAATGCTCATGCCGTGATTGCAAGTTTCCGTTGTTTCACTGAAAATAAAAAAAAACGTAAACTTTCCTGTCCCTGGTTTTTAAGAGGTTGAAACAGAAAATAAATACGAGTATTTCTAGAGTGGGATACCAAAATTAAATACATTACATACATAAAATTTTGACTCATAAGTTATAAAAAATGTTTGTTTACTAATAACTTGAAATTGAAATACTAGAAACAATAAGTTGCAGAAAAAGTGTTAACTTGAAGTATAAAATAAGGATAGATACAAGGTTACATAGTGTTAAAACTATGAATTCATAGTGTTACTTTTTAACTATTTTTGATATATTCTGTATTCTTAAAAGTTATTTGTTAATCTGTGCTATTTATCAATACATTTATCTTTATTTAAAACAAAAATATTGTTAGAAAAATATAAGGAAACGGAAGTAATAGTAATAGAATCGATTAACTCGATGTTTATTATTGTTATTCTGAGTTTTATACAAACTGTGACGTAGTACCATAATATTCAGACAAATAACACATAATTGAATATAAAAAATTACAAGAGGGGTTATCTCCCTCATATACATCGAGCGATCTGCTTGTAAATCCGAGCGTAAGTTCAAATCCGACTGACTGCGCCATGTTGAAGCGTGATTAATTTTTACATGCATAATCCATTATTATTTCAACAATTTTAAAAATAATCTAACTAGATCATATGAAACCGTCTATTGTTTAATAGACACTGTAGAAAAATAAAGTAACTAAGATATCTTACTAATAATAATACAAAAGTTTAGATGGATGGATGTTTGTGAGTTTGTTGCCTAAATGGCTGAATGAATCTCGGTTTGGCATGGGCATAGAGGATAGTCTGTAAAAATACATAGGCTACTCTCTTTTGTTTTTTTAAAATAACACGCGGAGGGTGTCTTGAGCGAAAGCTAGTATACAACAAGGGACTGCTAAAATATTAAGCCAGTCGAAGTGCGTCAGCACAATAGTGACGTAACCTCTATCATAACAGTTGTCATGGTAACGATCGTGTATTGTTAAGTGATAAGTGTGAGAAAGTTATATTATTTGTAATTGTATCGAGCGAGTGAAAGTAATGCGGTAAGTATCCACTCATTTTCACTAATAAATATTTTAGCACGTTATTGCAACACTGACACATTTTAGCGCAGTTGCATAACATTAGATCGCTAAAAATATATGAATTGATAGTAATAAAAACTAATATTTAATTAAAAGTACGGGTGCACTTTATATTTTCTTGTGCGGTTTATGTTAGCTAGATTGTTTTTTTTTCAATTATGTGATGGGAAACGAGCAAGCGGTCACCTGAATGATACGACTGCTGCCCATAGATGCGTTGCCTATCCTTAATCAACTAAAGAGGAGACGCATAAAAACAGAATTTTTCCCCTTTCTATGCGTATTCTCCACCGTTAAATCCACTTTTCCTTGTCATCCTTCCCTCTTAAGAAGAGAATGGAAAAGAAACGGGACTAAACTTGGCTTCCGGCACACTGATCAGACGAAACGCGGAATTCCTTCCACTTCACGCCTGTCTTCTGTGTGGTCGTGGTAATACACAGGGCGAGCCTGCCCATTAGTGCGAAGATAAACGTAAACGTGGGCTTTACCACTGTTGTATTGTTCTAGCATTGTGGCATTTGGTACAGGCAAATAAATTTTGAAATCAATAAAAAAAATATTGAATTTGTCCTCTTCGTAATAATAATGTACATGAAACATTGCAAATGTAAAAATAACGATTTGAATTATATTTTATTTACTTAAATTGAAGGTTATATAAATGCACAAGGATACCAACCTTTCGGTGTCATTATGATGTTCTCGCGGTAAATCTATGGTTTGGTCTTGTGACTCTCTCAATTCAGAACTTTGTTGTCGAACTAAATTCAACAGCATCGTATCGTGAACACCCAAGTCCTGGAAACTGGGAAATACAAGAAATTTAATAATCTGTATTGTATAATAAAATTGGAGTGTGTGATTGTAATAAAGAAAAAATTCAGATTTCGGGATGATGACGTATTTGCGTTCCTGATAACGAAAATCGCATTTAAAAAAATTTGTCTGTCTGTTAGGAAGCCGCGTTTGTTCCGAGTAATTTCTGAAACGGCTGGGCCGATTTCGACCGGAGTTTCACTAAACCAATATGGGCCTGACGTAGACGGTCATATTGTAGGTTGTTTTATTTTAATATTGCATGGTCCGTGGATGAAGTCTCGGGCAACAGCTAATATATAAATTATATAGATAAAGGACGTATAACGTCGTCTGTGCGATTAATAACTTGCCATAACTTCCTCATACAGTACCGTGAAGTCATTTTAATTCTTGACGAATGTATATGTTACACAACTTATAGCTCACTGAATGGCAACATTATAGATATGGTTTTAGTGCTATGAATTATCATACAAGGAGTTGCCACGTGTTACCAACATGTTTTATTTGATTTTCAGATACGATAGACAGCTTTGATCGATGTTTACATGTTTACATGGAAAAACTTTTTAACTGAAATTTTGTTTTTGTTTCCATAACCCAAAAAACAACATATGTTTTTGTATAGTTGCTAAAATAAAACTGCGATTAAATATGTACAATAAATATTTGCAAATGAATGTACTTCGTTATGAATCAAATGTAATTCGCTTTGCTGTTAGTGGTGTAACCTCACCTATAAGGCCAAAGATCGCTTGGCCTGTGTACAGTCAGCTACAAAAACAAGTATACGTTTATAGAGCTTTGGAAACTTAAATACGCTTTCGGTTTAAAAAAATACGTATTCCCGTATCCTTCAATAGTACATAATTTATTGGGAAGCAAACAAGTGGATACGCAAGTACGTATTCTTGAAGTTAAAGTTGTTTTTTAAACTTTTGTAAAGGTGCAGCTGAGTGTACATTCGCCTCTTTTACCTCTATACCCTATACTATATTGAAATCGAGATTACTGGCTGGCGCTTGTGTAGAACTGGTTTACTTGCTAGTACCTGTCTCAGTGGAACGTAAATTATATCGCTATTCGAGAATAAAGATTAATTGTATCCCAGAGTGTTAATAAAGGTGTGATTTTTTTTTAGTTTTACAGAAGAATGAAGTTTACGTTTTATTAAAATAAGCTCTACATAAAAATGGCTATGGCCTGAATATAATGGATATTATAATATGGATAGATAATGGTTATTATGGACACAACAGTACTTTCACCTTTTCTTAAAAAAGTGTTCATTTGTTTTATAACTAATAATGTTTCGTGAGTAAACAATGCTATACATACAGTTCACTGTTTCTCTTCAAGTCGTACATCTCATTAAGTGCTGATACGAAAGTTGACAAACTTTGTGATGATGATTCTTTCGATTTGGATTCCTCGTTTAACCCTAAGGATCTCATCTTTTGCAGAAGCATTGCGTATGGGTCGATTTCATTGCCCATAAATGATATACGGCTAACATCTTCTTTGGACTTTCTAAAAGCAAAATCAATAAACACATTATATTCCGTGTTTATCCTGTTTTTATAAACAGCGTAATTTATGACAAGCCAATGCATAAAACTGAGAAGTTATTTGTAATTAGATCAGACGGTCATATAAAAAGAATAAATCATTATTAAATCATATTCATAAAAATAACCTTAAAGCGAAATGTCAAAATGAAATTACATGTCGTTAAAACTTTTCACAAGAAATCTACTTTTCAGAAATAGTTATTGAGAATGAAATATTAAGAAGTTGTAAATTACTGAATGCTCGTAAACATTGATTATTCGTTAATGTTTTTGTGGAGACTAAGAAGTAGTATTGGAGTCTGCGAAGGTTCTGTGTTGACTTTTTCTCAACATCCGTGACTCACGGCGGATGACTCACAATTTTGTTGTGCTTATTCTATGCTCGAGATATTTGTTTGGGTCTTAGTGACCGACTTTTAACTTTTATTTGTTAACGGATACGATATTATATAACGTCAAATAAAATTGCATAATAAGGATGTTATTACTTTCCAGTTTCATGTTCCAATTTAAACACCGTATTAAACATAAAAGCGCCATCTATCGTTGAAATAACTGGTATCGAATAAGCGAAATATTAATCAGAACCATACTTCTAAGAACAATAAGGATTACAAGTTGATTAAAATCATTTAATTATTAATGTTTTACTAACAGCGATATGCTCGGCGTAGAATATAGCTTGGAGTATCGTGTCCTCCATTCTCCGATTTTTCTCCAAGAGTATTTATCCTCTCTGTAACAATACAAATGTTATAGTTATACAAATACAAAAAATACATGGACGTTTGCAACTTTATTGCAGCTTATGAAAGGCGCCGTATAATAAAAAACACAAACAATTCTAAAGCTTAGTTTGATCACTTTTTGTATAGAAAGACATCAAACTAGTAAAGAAAACTCATGAAATGTCAAAAGAAGCGTGTTTATCAGTTGATAACTTATATAATCGGTTTTCCAATACTTTAATAACGTAACAAATGTACCAAATTTAATCTAACAATACGGTAAATTCGTATTTTAATATAAGCGAGTAGGTTTGTAATGAGCTCCACCCACATTTGTCGCAGTTCACTCAAGTAACGTGTTGACTTGAAAGTCTACGCTGAGAATGGCGCTATGCCGAAGGTCAAAAGCGGACGGCATTTAACCACAGGACAGAACAGTACCAAGAAATACTGATAAATTTATTTTCGAGAGGTTAATATTGAACTATTTTAAATAATAAATGCTTGTTGAATCACTGTGAACAAGCAAATTGAAAAGGATAAAAAGCAAAGAAAGAGGTATTAAACATAACGATAGAAATGTGGCAGCGTGGTAGTAATTGTAAATAGTTAACGTAGACTTATAGATACGAAGCTAGAAAAATGTGCCAAGAATGTTTTATTCAATTTTGGCATACCCTTCTAAGTTACTACTTATAGTTATATCTTATTAATCTTACAAATGCGAAAGCTTGGATGGATGGATGTTAGTTTGTAGCCTAAAGTACTGTACCGATATCGATGAAATTTGAAATTTACAGGTTACTTACTTGTTTAATTTTAAGTGGACGGAGTCGCCGGCGTAATCTCGTTTTTTATATTTCAATGTATTTGTTTCTATCACGGAATTGTTATGGTTATTTTGCGTCAAGTATAATATCAATTAAGATCATGATATTGTTACATGCCTTGTAATCAAGGCACATGCAACATTCTAAGTTCTCGTGCGCACCACTAGCACGAGCCTTATTATTTGATATTACAACGCCATTTGTTATTATTTAATTACCTACAATTGCTACTGCTAATTAATTTTCCATTATATTTGACGGTAGAAATTAAAAAAATATACTTACGGCATTTCTTCGTCGGTTTTATTTTTAAAACTCCATATTCAAATATTTAACAGTTATCGTATAGGAAATAATGGATATACAAATTGTTCAAATAATGTGATTCACGTCATTCTGACAGGTATATAAAAGTGACATTGTCTATAACTTTAAAAGACAATAAAAACAACCTTTTTCGATATTATTCGTCAATAAAAAATGATGGAATTTAATTCCTGGTGACACGTTAGCCTTTGTTCCAGGAACTTTCGTGTTTTGATTTGCTAAAATGTCACAAATGTGTAACTTCATCATTAAATACATAGTTTTATCATTATCCTAATAAACGATATCAAATAGCGTTTGTGATATGCCATGTGCCATTCCAAAGTTATACTTTCTTTATTGTACTAATTAGATACTTTAGCTATGACTAACATTTTAAAGGAATATTTTGTTGTTCTAAATTCGAATATCGCTATTCTCTATGCATCTTTTACTTTTTTTAACGCCACACTTTTTAAAATAGCTGGTAGCTTTATATGCAACTTTTGTGAATCTGTAACGAATTCGCTTGATCTTTTGGCACGCGGAATTAAATAAAATCATTTTTACAACACCCGTGCATACTATAATTAAAGAAGAACTATTCGATCATTCGTCGATAGATACCATTAATGGAAATCAATAATATTATCGTAGACCGAGAACAAAGAAATTCATTGATCAGCAAAATGATAAAAGGTTTATTGAAAGTGCTGATGCAATCTAGTGTGGCTCCATCCCATTGTTTGTCCGAGGTGAGTGATGTTTGTCGTTTGATGTTAAAAAAATAAACATTTGATACAATCGGAGCACGTGTTCAATCTCGTTCTTTACACTCGAGGCAACCTATATCATTATAATATAGTTACTACATATTCTAGATTAACATAAGTTGATTTGAACATTATATTCAAACAAGCTTTTGCCCGCGACTTCGTTCGCGTGGAATTTAAAGAAAAGTAGCCTATGTATTCTACTAGACTATCCTCTACATCTATGCAAAATTATCGAGATCCGTTCAGCAGTTTAGGCTACAAACTCTAACAAACTTCCATCTATGTAAACTTTCGCATTTATAATATTATGGTAAGAAGTAAGGTATTACGTAAATAAATTAATCTTATAGGCGTATTTAAAGACAGACGGCGTTTGTTTGGTCGAGTCCGCTCATTTCTTCATTTTGCAGGCTGTTGAATGATTTCTGTAACTAAGAGTTTTGACTACTTGAAACCCTTACAGAAACATATTTTTATCTTTTTCATTGTAGTTGAAATAAATAAGGATAACAGTATTTTTACAGTGGAATTTTACAATTATGACATGACCATTGCTGTCGGTGTATCTTGAACCAATTTATTATTCATATTTGAATATCAAAATACTCAAACAATATCACGTTATCTTGAGGAGTTTAATATTAAAATTGTAATTACTGTGCCTGAGATGGTACCACGTTTCGAGATAACGTTGTAAATGCTTTTAAAAATTTACATTTTTCATTAAAACTTACGCCAGCTTGGAACATCGACCTTAGAGGTCATGTTTATTGCGAATTGAATAATTAAAAGATCGACCTGCCTTGAACTCTACTCTGCTTAATGTAACCTTGTAAATTAGAAATGTGTTTAATTTGTTGGAGAATTTGCAAATTTACTTAAATGTACGTAAGTGAATTGTACAGTTATTTTTTTATAAGTTCTTTTTTTGGTAGTGTTTATGGTAAGTGTGATCAATCGCTTAGTATGCTTCAATAACATTCGATTTAAAAAAAACGTTTTTGTTTTAATTTTTATTTTGAAAAAGTATTTAATATTACGCAAAACGTCTCTTAAATGTTCTACCTTATTAGCCGCTGTGATTAGAGTAACTAAGATATATGCAGTAAAATTAAGTAGGAAATTGTATTAATTAGAGCGTATAGACCCTGAAATATTAACGAAGGTAATGCGTTTTTGCATTGCGTTAAAATGAAAACTACATTCTTTGTTACTTAAATTTTTTTTGTAGGTACACACCAGAAATATAAATCTAGTTTAGGCTGTATTTATTGGTTGTTAAAATAATTAAATAGTAGGTACATTTATAAAAATACGTACTAAGGAGGCATTTGTACAGATGAAAACGGCTAGTGGAAATAACGCGCAATAGCATAATTGTTAGATGCCGTTAGGACAGTTAAGAACGTCCTGATTTGGTGTCAAAAATCTCGTGGGAGCGACGTTGACTTGTTGCGTCTGACAAAAGAAGCATTTGTTTAGTGTCGCCTCTAGTTATTGTGGCTTCGATAAGTAATTGGGATTTCGGTCTAGCCGCAGCTGCGAGGTTCAGCGGGGGCGGTACAGTTCTGCGCTGCGACGCTTACAATTTCAGTCGCCTCGCCCGCGGCAGCCCGCGCGCACGTCGCGTATCGTTCTCATTAATTCGCGTCGCTCTGCGATAACCTTGCACATTTAAATTAAACGTAATCCCGCGTACTCCATTCACATCAACAAACTTGTGCTTTGTACAGACATCGACAGTTTCAATCGTGCAATAGGTCGATAGACCAGTTTACTATCCACTGTGACCATATGATTCGCATCTGACCGCGCATTCATCTCGGATATCGGTTCAAGTTTTGCGGACCAACTGAAAGTGCAGTGGTAAACAGATAATTAGGTCTTACTTGAAGAAAAAGTGCTTAACGATTGCCCCAATTTGAGGATTACTTTATCGGAGATGTGATTGTTGACGTTGTGATTATCGTACCAGTGGCGTTACCAGGATAGTGCGATGGCTGGTGCAAGTGAGGAAGGAGTGTCCGTGGAGGAAACGACACCTGCCGCGGAGGGCCGCAAGCGAGGCTTAAGCGGGTCAATGTCGCTCAGGACCCGCAAGCTTGGGAGGCGCCTTTCGCGCAGCATGTCCATTGTTGCGCTCAAGTTGCCAGAAAAGGCGCAAAGTATAACTCGTTCATCATCCAAGCTGATGAAATCAGGTAGTCGCGATAAGAAGAACAGATCCTTTGAGCTCTCTATTATACTACCGGACAAGACGCAAAAACAGGTAATGAATCTTTGTTAATTAAGGAATGTTGCCATCTAGCAACTTAAAAAGACATTAATGACAAATTATAACAATCAACAGATGGATTGATAAAAACAGGTTTTAATCGTGTAATGTCGCGAATGTTTTTGTTATGAGTACTTACGCTAGTTTTATTAAATACACTAGTTGTATTTGCAAATAAATCGTTTGTACGAAGGCCAGTCATCTCGATGGTCACGCTAAAAATGTTCTATCGCATGTAACTTTTGAAAACGTCATTGTTATGTTATATGTACCTATCCATTGTCGTATTTTGTATAGGCGTGTCTCATTCGTTCAGTTACCGTGGTAATATTTTGATATTGTACAGTAGACGCTGGACAAATCACTGATTTTTCATGTTTGTATTATTTTCATCCATATTTTTTGTCACAATTTAACTTACTCTTTATAACTTAGTTTACCGACTGCGAAATAAGGTTTGAAACTGTAATTAGACAAGTATCGGACAGTACTGGCGTAAGGGTAGGTCGCGGTGGGACGACTGCCCAAGGCGCCTTACAGAAAGAAGGCCATAGGTCCAAGACAGTCAAAGAACTCTCTTAACCTCACGAATCGTAGTAAAAATGTCGTCGTTGTAGAAACATCAGATAGATATAGGATTTTAATCAATTCTTATTTTTGACAACTTTATCATATGTAGAGTTAACAGGACTCTATTTGGAAAATTTTTTACAACGGCAGCAATTTCAAATTATTTGTAGAGACGTGCGATTTATGGATTCATGGCATGTAAAAGGTTTCGTTGGAGTTAGGCGCTACGCGTGCGATGTGTATGTCTTGCATGTAAATGTATGTCCACTCATTGCAGTTTTATCAGACGTTTCTCTGCTGTGTCACGTCGGTTATTGCGGATTTCTCCATTCAATGAGGTGCGCCTCCGTTCAGTTGGCTATTGTTTACGTTTGTCATTGCCGGCGAACCGAGCGTTCTTCATGATTTTATTGTCAACCTCGGCTGTCATATCATCTTTTCTTGACTTAGATGAGTCATATTTCATTCTTATTGACAAAAGTTACAAGGATTTTGAAATAAGTCTCATATAACTAGCTTATGCCCGCGACTTCGTCTGCGTGTAATTAAAAAAAAAAAACAAAAGCAAATAGCCTATGTGTTCTTCCCGATTTTGCTCTACATCTATGCAAAATTTCATTGAGATCCGTCCAGTTAGGCTATAAACTCTAACAAACATCCATCCATCCGTCTAAACTTTCGCATTTATAATTTTAGTATGATGGGTATTAGAGAGTTTATATAGTTCAAATTAATTATTATCATGCTTAGATTATAAATTAATTTTGCACGCAATTTGGTGTTTTACATTGTATTTTCCGTCCTCATATCGAATTCTGTATTAAATGAAGTCTTGCGTAAAATATATCCTGGTATGGTATTATTTTGTGCGTGTATTAGAAAATTATTACTTTACTTTACTACGTATCAGGAACTCTACAATTAGCTAACTAAGTAAATAGTATACTGTTGATCACTTTATTCACGTACACTTGCGTAAGAAATATGCCAAAGAACTGTGTCTCGTAGTCAAACTATGCTAACAAAATTGTCTTTCACGATATTTGTGCTGAAAAGACTTCAATAAAATGCATGATTGCATTTTTTGCAACAGTCTAGATATAAATTAAATGCCCACAAAGTTAATATAACATCGTGTTCATGTCTTTAAGTGATATTTCCTGGCTTTGTAATGCAGTCGTTGTGGGCGTTCTTCCTTATTGTCGTTTAATTTGTACGATTTAGTCGTCTTTTACCGTGAGTTTCCATTGAGATGCGAATTCTATTGTCAACCCTATACATTTAATCTATACTCTACTATTCATCATAATTACCTCGCTTTATTTCCCCACTGAGGCTTGGTGGTTACCCTATGTTAGGGTGAAAAAAATAGGTGATTTACTCGATTTTTTTTTAATTCCGTAGGAACAAAGTTCCGAGCAAGTCATTAGATAATTTGTTCATTAATAGTTATTTCTAAATGAATATGTTTTGTGTGAGTTGGGCATTGGTCATTATGATAATAATTATTGTTACTGGAATTATTGAAATCTAATCATTAAGGTGCAAGCTTGATGAAAGGTTGAATGATGCAGAATTAGGCATATTCTTAACTGTACACTAATAACTGGTTAAAACGAATTAAAGATTCACGTATGATCAACCTTTTTTTTTTTTTTATAACATAAGATGGCAAACGAGCAAGCGGCCACCTGAATCCGCCAAAAAGGCGAAGCGACCGCTGCCCATAGACATCTGCAGTTGCAGATGCGTCGCCTACCCTTATCCGATGGAGAAGGAGACGCACATAAAGAGGATATTTCCTCTTCCTATGCATCTCCTCTATCGTCAAATCCACTTCCCCTTCCCATCCTCTCATGAGAAAAGGGTGGTAAAGAGAAAGGGACTTAAATTAGGCCTCCGGCACCACACTCATCAGACGAAACACGGCATTGGTTCCATTTCACGCCTGTCTTCTGTGTGGTCGTGGTATTACACCGGGCATGCCGGCCCATTCGTGCTAAGATGTTAAAGCGGGCACTACCACTGTTAAGTTGAGTTGAGCCGTCTCTATATCTTTTAAGGTAATGTTTCAAAGTTTAAACAGTTAAATAAATGGGTAGTTTACGAAGTTAACTTTTCATTAGAAATCTGCGTTTATTTTCTGTTAGATCTTGATATGTCGTCGTTAATTAAATTGAATTAAAGATAATTCCAGCCAAGGTCGTAGATTTTATCGATTGCTCAACGAGACGGCGTTGTCATATTTTAACGCACAATTGGCCGACCTCTAAATCGCAAATTCTATTTCTCTGTTACGGTATTTTATTATTTCAACCTCAATAATTCACCCCGATGGACATTTATTTTTGTATACAGTAAACATCGACCCGAATCATGTTAGTGAAGCTTTTATTATGGAATCTGACATGAAAATTTAATTTTCACGATTACTGGATTGATTACGACGTAAGAAATATCAAAGAAATATAAAAAAAGGAATATGACTTACGTGAACGATAGCAATGAATGGAAAGCTGTCAGAGTTAAATCCATTGATGAAACCAAACAAATGCTAAATTATGAATGGTGGGATGTTTGCTAGCGCGAAATCCAAAATGGCTAACCGGAACTGGTTGAAATTTAGTATGGAGATTTCAATGAGGAATGGTGCATCATTACTAAGTTTTTGACGCAAGTAAAGTTCCGGGAAACAATCTTCTAAACGTCCTGGAAGGTGTTCCTAAGTACCAAAGTATGTATTGAAGCAGTTAACGAAGCGATTGCAAGTGAAAGTGATGTCGCAATCCGTACTTAGTTAACTTGGCGCGTGTGAGAAACGTTTGCCATGCCAAGTCTATTTCTTAACAGAAACTTTACTATCTGTATGTATGAATAACACTTAAAACTCTCTTATAAGAAGGAATTTTGCTGAGTTAAACGATTCTGAGAGAAAATTAGAAGGTCACCAAGTAATTCCCTTAAAGGTATAGGGCAAATTAAACCTTCGCACCTTAGACATTGAGTTTAGTATTCTTGAGGTTGGTAATTTGTTAGTGTCTAGAACAATTTACCTAAAATTTAATGTTCAAAACAATAACTGAATTTACTATCTGCCATAGAGTAGGGGAAAGGCTTCTGTTGTTTTTTTAATTGCTGTAACGGAATTGTATAGTTAACCGCATTTCACAAGGCTGCAATCAATGTAACGGCGGGTTTTAAAATATTTGATACATTAACTTCGTTAACATACTGATGTATCTAAAATTGGCCCTGATTCGACGAAGTGTTATTGGTACAAATCAAAGTGGTTATTTTGTAAGTGTTCTGATCTTTCAAACTTTTTGTTTTAATTACCGTGTCACGTTTCGTATTTGAAATAGATAGTACATATTTTGAGTGTCCACTAGGTGTTTGTAAACATAAAACCATTGTAATTGGACGGGTGCCATTTCCATTGATATACGACGGTCGACAAATATGTACGTGCATGTTTACTATTTATAGTTTGTGAAGCCGGATTCGAGAAGTACTGTCTCATAACGTCATCATAAATATTAACAATGACTTATATAATTAGAAATCAATATTCATTAACGAAAATGTAGAAGTTGGCAGTATTAAAATTAGTTTGGTACAAGTAAATTAGTACTGTTAATAAAAGCATGGTCGTTACTTATGTCTCTTAAAATATCAATAAACAAATAAATAGTCGACATTATATATCCAACTTCCCTTATCAATAATAACAGTATCGAAATGTTCAAGTGTTTGTAGCGATACATCAACCATTACAATTGTCAATGATTTGCCAAACAAATATAAACACGAAAGTTATAGTATGTGAATAATGCAGTTGTGAAGTAGAACAAGTGATCAGGTCTAGTCGAGGTCCCTCTGTGACTATCACTTTTGCATCAGGAACCGGTCCTAGGCCGTACCGGTGGTGCCGAGGTACTGGTCATCGCTCATTGGAATTTTTTGCTAAAGGATCAAGATTGTTTAGTCGAGATCGACTAGTTTTTTTATTCAACATGGTGTGTGTATCTTCTCTTAATTTTAATTTACTTCAGTATTACGTTTTAGAAATCTACATTTTCAAATAATTATAGCGGGGAATATTTTAAAAATGTTAATTGTGTTTTTTGTGTTGAATTATTTATCTAATTTCTGAATAAACATCTTTAATAATGTAATTGAAATATAGATAACATTAGTTAATCGATACTCTTATCTTAAAACAAGTATTACATCAATTATTTTTCTTGACTTTTTCAGTTGATTATTTCTAATTGTTTGTAGTAGTTTTTGTAATATACTTTTAAATCTGGTTATCATATGCTAATAATAATAAATTAATGTAAAATTAATAGTTCACTATTTCTAGGTTAAGGGAATTAACAAAATCATAAAACAGTCAGTAAGTTAGAGAAAGGAAAATAGAT